GCGAAATACGTTGCTAACAAGGAGCAGTTCGAGAACGTCGATCCACGGAAAGTGAACCATCTGCTAGGTAACGAACAGAAACACGTTTCTACATTTATACATACGTATAGCGGAGGAAAGAGGAATTTATTAGCGATGAATTTGAACGGAACTCGTGACATTCGCGAAGACGTACGTGATGCAAGTATACGCCACCGCACAAAAGTATTTTCTTATATTATAATTCTCACCTTTTGCTATTAATCAGTTTATGATACGAAATAAGTCGAGGAAAATTCTTGATCAACTCGTTTCATTTTTCTTTGAATATTATCGTGTTTTATGTTATTCATACGTAATGAGAAACGGGAAAAATTGTACAATAAAACCTGTACGATTCAGTTATAAATGTAGATGTACGCAAAATATGAAAAAATAATGTAGGTCGCTGAAGAATAATGCAGATTGGATAATATGGATTATATGTTATGCCTTCTGGTAACCATCGATCTTGCACGATTGCGTTAATCCTTCAATACAGTTAGCCCTTAGTTAGTCTGCCCTAATTATGATGGGCGTAACGTTTGAATTTGAGATTACACTCGGTCTATCGATCAGAGCTGTTGATTGCCTTCGATGTTGTATAATAAGCAACGTTATTAACCAACGATAAATTGAAATGTTTCTCTTACATTTTAGACACGTTTCGTAGATTTCTATAATCTCCATTGTAAATACGTTTTAATTGTTCTACAATTATAATATAACGAAGTTCGATCACTGATAGAAGCTGTCCTTCTAGAAGTTCGGTGGCTCACTCTGTTTCATACTTTTCATCATTTCAGGGCTATTTTCCTATTCCCATATGGACTTCGACGTTGACCGAAACACGAATGGAAGTGGTGACCCGTCGCTGGCAGAAATGACGATAAAGGCGCTCCGTGTTTTGACGAAAAATCCCGAAGGATATTTCCTTTTCGTTGAAGGTATGTATGTAGGACTTATGTGCCTCCAACTTCTCGAGGATGCATTACCACAATGTTTTATCGAATAGTTTCGTCGTTACTATCGGGCGTTCAAAGATAAACGGATGGAGAAACGAAATTCGGATACGTGGAACTATGAAAGATGTATGCGCTTAAAGTAACTATGACGAACCTTAAAAAGAATTTCTCGAATCCGAGCAAGCTTCGTGTTTCATCGTTTCGGACTTATCTCTCACCACCTCCGTGTGAATTTTATAATCGACGCGCATGTGGCTACGTAATTGAAATCCTTCGACGACAGAATACGATTGAGCTAATACTCTCGAGAGTGTTCCTCTTTCGAGAATAGGGAAACACGAGTTTCCTGCGCGAAGATTGCGTCAGCGTTCTGTACTTTATCGAGTTTATAGCTTTCCACCTCCTGGTAACCGGTATGTACATCTCACGTTCTTTCGTCGTTGGGAAAAACGTTTTCTCGACTTGTACGAAAATACACTTCTTTTTTGTCTTCCCCTTTCTCGCCCAGAAGAGACCGCTGAACCAGCCACTTTCCTGGCCATGGAATCTTTTCTCGTGTATTTTATCGTTCGTAGACGGAATAATAATTGCTGCTTTATGTGTATATACATACATATATATACATATATATATATAACCGTTGGCATTTTCTTTGGTTCGTTGGCTCCTTATTAAAATAAAATTATATATAAAGTAGAAGAAGGAAAATTTGTAGACTTGCAATCTTAAGGTTTGAACAGGAATATGTATTATTTCAATAACTTGAAATTTCTGAGAATTGTGAAAAATATTCATGCGTCGCTGGAGAAACCAAACGATTTTATATACAAAATTTCAAATGTTGCAATTCTTTATTGTCTTCCATTTTTTATCTTTCCTTTGTTTCCTGTTCTTTCATCCGATTGAATTCTGAGTATGACATCGCACGCTATAACTTGCACCCATTGTAAACCAATCGGCTTTGTACACGTAAAACTTTGATTAATTCCCTTGTGACAACCGATTTCACTTGGTAAATCGTATCTGATTCTCGGTTTGTTGTTTTTCAATGGTATTATATTGCTGAATGTCGATGCATTTCGCAACATTGATGTCATAACTTGTGCAAGATCCAGTGGCATTGTGAAATGGATACTGTGAAACAGTATTTCTTCGAGAAAATATTACCACTTATTGTTAAATTTTTCACGTCATTTTATGCTGTCTCACCTTCGTATAATATTATCTTTCGAATAACATTCAGAGCATCAAGTGATATTAATTTTCTGCACAATGCATAGCTGGCATCCCGTTGTACGTCTCGAATGTGTTAATTCTCTCCAACAACAGGTTCACCTTGAATATACTACACGAACAACGTTATCGGTTCAATGAGCATCATATAGAGGTACGCGTCGAACTAACGTGAGAGAAAATCGCGTGCTTCCAAGATAACGGAATACGCGTCGTTGGCATAATCAGATCCGGCACGGCGCGTCGTTCCATTATCGGGCGATAGTATAACGTCGCTGGTCGATTATACTTCGAATTTCACCCGAAGATCGTCTTCGTTCGTCGAGCACAGACGTGGCTGCTTTGTAAACGATACCGAAATCCGGATCCAAAGTTTCCTACAGCACGACAACTGTTGCTCCCCCGCCACCAGCTGGAGAACTCGTACCTCCACGGATAAATTTTGGCAAGATATCCCTGGCTCGGTTGAACGCATCGAATACACCATCCTCTCGCCTGCGAGTCTGCTAAGATTTCGGTTATAGAATCAGTTGACTCCACAGTTTGCCGAACTTCTAATGTATTCCACGAACCAAGTTTCATTTCACATTGTTGATCTGTAATCCGAGATATCGCCTGATTTGTAATATTCTGACTCAATCTAGCGTGCAAGATATCATTATTGCGATAGTTTCATGTAACCTGCGTGATAATGGACTAATCGAAGTAAGATGATAAATGCAATAATATTTATTTATTGAATGAGGGAAAAGTGACCTTTTTTCTGGAAGAACCCTTATCACCCCATGCTAAGATCCCAGCTTATTCGCGATTAGCGCCACATCAGCCAAAACGATCTGTTTCCTGATAGCTGATCTAAGCATTAATGTAAAAAGATGTATCTCGATACTATTTGGCGTAATAGGTTCGATAATATCTTTAATATTAAACATTGGGCGTTCATAACGAAAATGTGAAATTTTCCAAGCTATTTGGGAATAACGATTACTAACGCGAAGAAGGGAGAGTCATGGTCGTTTATCAAAAAGCCGCTTGGTAGCATTTGTCGACTCATTGATCTTTGGACATTCGAAACGAATGATGTGGCTATTTATATTAAAGTCATCTCCTGTGAGCTTTCGTAATTTTAATAATAATTACTACGATATTTAACCAAATATATTTACCATGATTAAATTTGTAAATTCATCGTAACATAAGATGCTATTTGGAATTTACGAGAAACAACAATTTCAATAAAACTTGTTTGGCCCGATAATAATCGCGATCTGGACACGTAGCGTAAAATATATTCCGTGTTATTCGGTTCACCGGGTAACTGCTCTCGATGAAACATTTCAGTTTTTCGTTAGAAAATAACGTTCCACCAGATTTTTACAATTTTCTCTCTCCCTCCATTTTATTTGTCAAAATCATTCCCATCGAGCGCTGAAAGCTGAAACTTTTATTTCGCGATTACGTTAAACTTCACATGAAAATTCTGAACAATCCGTACAAATGAGGAAAAGGGGATTTAGGTTTTTCTCGTCGGGAATTTATCTAATTTTATGCTAAATAAAAATAAGCATCTCAAATAAGCATGTCAGCTGGGACGAGCTGCGTTTAAGAGATCACATGGTGCAACTCGTGAAAAACAACCGAATGCTTTTTCCTCTGCCTACCCGTGGGATGTCTTATCCGTGTTCTTGTTGCGTCGAGAGGCTTCGTCAACATGTTTAAAACCACCAAGAGAAAAAAGATGCACGTGTGAAAAACCATGAGAGCAGAGGAATTAGTGGGGCAGATTTAAAAAACTAATGTCATGCATTTATTTTCGGCTGTATGGTTTTAATTTGATCCTGAATTTATGTGCATACATAGTCGAGTAGAATCAAGCGATTGCTTGGAATTTTTACAGTGATTTGCGGAGGTATTTGAATAATTACTGCAGAAAACTCGTTAGAGTGCAAATAAAATTCCAAAATGAATCGCGCAATACACGTAATATATTCATAAAAGATTTATTCCTATCGTTAGTCGATACCTATCAAATATTTTTACGTGTCAGTTTGTACGCAGCTGAAATATGAAAGTATCTTGTAAAAGGTTGACGAGTAGCTAAACAGATGCGCGGGATCGTCGCGTCGCTGCAAATCGACGCTTTAATGCAAGTTATTTGTCGCACTGGTCCTGAGTTATTCAGATGAAAATCTGAAATTTGAATCGGATAGAAGGAACTGCGAAGTTGGCGCGTCGAATAAGCGTTCATTACGAGGCTTCCTGCGAATCTCTCCTATAGATCTTAATTTTACGGGAGTTCTTAAACGACGCTGTAATTTGATTTGAGTAGATATTAGATGGTTCCTTGATTTTTTGCCAACTGTAAGATAAAATGATATTTTTCGAAAATATCTATTATGTAAAATGTGGTATCTTTTATTCGACAGATACCGATATCGTATCCAAAATATATTCGATGAATATCTGATCGTCGTTGCTTATAAACCTTTATGTAACTTTACCTTTATATGATTGCAATGTTTTTTCTGATAAATTTTGTTTGTGAAAAGTTTGATTTTACTTTTATAACAAAGCGCGTATTTTCAAACAATTAAATTTGCTGCTAGGTAAACTACTTGGAAAAGGTATGGAAGCGATTGTAGTACAATAGCTTTTTCAACGAAATCTTTGTCCTATGATTCAATGGCAATAGCGCTGACCCACGGTGAAACTTCACGTCACTGTTGTGCATCAAATGCCAGGAAAAATCAATTAAAGCTATTGCATCTCTATTTCCAAACGAAAAGCGGAACGATGATATTTTTTGTAAGAAGAATTCATTCCATACAAGCTTTATGAAAATAACTAAAAAGCTTTGGTGAACACAGTGCAAATTGTACAAAACGAAATAGATACAGAAAGTGAAGCAATACTGCTTCATATAGCTCGCCTACGTTGAAACGCAAATTTTCATTTTTCCAGTTATTGCAACAACGAATTTCCCTTCTGCGAATGCACGCTACACACAATGCATATAGTATCATTTAATTTCATTATGCCCGTATTAAAACTTATACTTTTCATCACGCTCTGTGCACGTGTAATCGATGAAATGGAATTCACTCGGCTGAATGAAATGAAAAATACTTTTTCACGCTTTAATCTCTCGAAATAATTTTTGGCAATACTGTTGGATATTAATACTAGTTTCAATCCCAGAAGGATCGTTGCACGTAATATTTTCAATATCAGTTTTTCTCGGTCCATTAATTTTTTCGTTCCAAATCAAATTTACTCTTCGCCGTATGGGCATTCAGCTCTAAGCTGCCTTTGGTTGACAGCAACGAGAAACGTTCACTAAACCACACAATGTTCGTTACACAAATTCATCATTCTCCAACGTGCATGCTAGTGGCACACATATCTACTCTTCTAATACATAAATATCATGCTCTCGAATGCGTGTTCCCATCGAGTGCAGAAGTGTTATATGATTTTATAAAATATTTGTTCACCATCTCGTAGCGATAAACAAGAAACTATATCGTTTTATTGTCGATGAATCATTTTCACTTTTAAAGCAATTCGTTTGATACATTTCTCAATCTTAGAATGTAATGGATACGATATTTATTTACTGATATATCCAAGCGGAAATATCGTTCCACTTAGGGGGTTATTCGTAGACGTACTCATTCGTGTTTTATCGCGATTGTTGATTTATTGGAACAATGTTTGCTATGGTAAACAGAGGCAAAGATATTCCACAGTATGTACTATTACCAATCGGCGTGATTATATCATTATTCATCGACACGAATCTAATTAAAGCTGAATTTCAACTTTTGCAAATAGACCATTTGTTATATTTTTAGTCGAATTTTCTCTGTATAGCAGGATCCACTACCATTTCGACTAATGTAATTATATTCGTAATTAACTCCGACCCCTATAATCATTTCTAGTAACAAGAAGAGAAGCTGAGTCACAATGCATACTATACTGTGAAACGGAGCAATGCGAATAATTATATTGAAATTCTCTGATTCTATTATTACGCATGGATTCGTGAATTTGATACGTTTTCGATAACAATGTGCATCTATAATAATGTTATACTGAAATATTGCTGCATTTGACGAAGAAGTTTTTGACGTGATTAGCAATTATAAATTGCAAATTTATTCGTGATATATAAAAATAGCTTCTACTCATTCGATTCAAAAATTACCTGTTTGTATAGGAGGAAGTCTACTGTATTCATCCGTTTCGATAGTTATAACAAAATCTTTTAGATAAATACGCATCTTATCGTTTTCTCTATTAGTTTCGTTTCTAGAAAAAATTCATGTGTACCACAATTCCATTTAACCCCTCGATTGATCACGGTTTACGCAAATTCCTGACATCGAACGCAATACACGCCATCGAAACATCGATTCTCCTCGCTTGTATCGTTCGCACCATCTTCCCTATCCCATTCAATCTTCTCCGTCGTCGTAAATACTGGTCATCGCAAATACGATACGGCGTATTCATTCACAAGTTCGGCGTAACGTGGTCGGGACAAAATTAATGCTCGCCAGTAAAATCGGATCGTTGCAGTTAGCCATGGCGCCGCTTAGTCGAGCCAAGCGATACGGCATACCATTGGGTCTTTTAACGCGATAGCCTAAGATCGAACTGTAGAATGTCTCGTTTCATCCCTGATTGCTTCGATCCACCCTGCAACCGAATTCGATTCCACACTCTCGATTCAATTCTCGCTCCCTTGAACGCGTGCACGCTTCCGATTCTACGTAATATCGATCCTGCCATTCTCGATCGTTTCTAAGTGGCGTACTGGTGAACTTTAAGTCGAACTTTCAGTAATCCATTCCGGAGGTAACGTCGTTTGCTCGCTCGATAATTGAATCCGGGATTCTTGCGGATCGTTCTGAATAATTAGCGTTAACTGCCAATGACCATGGTACTTTCACAAACGCGAGTTCAACGGTAATGCTGATGACGCTCGTTTCCCCTGCGTTGGATCTCTAATTTCGTCCGTAGTTTTGTTCCTTCTTTTATCTAATTTTCGCCATCCCTTCACAGTGACAGGAAAAAGGATAAGGCCTTTTCCACACGGTGATACGTCTATCGCGATACGCCTGTGTTGGATACCGATGTTGCGTTATTCATTATGGAAGGGTTAATACGATGATTCTATAATGAACAATGTACGATCGATAATCGTGATAGGCTTATCGCATAAGTGTGTCGTCATCGCAAGAAGGCTAGGAGACATGTGAATTATTAATAATATTTTCGTAACGAAGAATAAATAGCTATTTTTCTACGAAAGTATATTCTTTGATAAACAGCGACGTTAAATAGAATGTCACGAATATAGTTTGGCTAACGTATTAAAGGGTTAATTCTTAAATTCGCTTCTCGTGAAATCTGTAACGTCGTCGTGTCGAGTCAGTTGAGTGTGAAGCGTTTGACGTCAGAAATGTGCATTTGTTCTTTTGTTTATACTATACTTTATAGCTTTTAGGAAGTTAGGAAAGTTCGTACTTCACTTTTCTTTTAACTTTAAAGATATTAAAGTCGTTGACAGGATTATAGGTAGCTTTCTGTAACGTGACAATATTGATTTTAAAGTTACTCGCGTCTGGAGTTTTTCATAGTACACGTAAAGTTGATTCTAAATTGAATAGAACTTGTTGGTCGGTTAGCTCTGTCAAAGGATATTTCGTGCCATGTGGTTCGTTGTGCCAACTTTCGATCAAATTGAATTATCGCGTCAAATTATCCCGTTAATTGATATTTATGTTAATAGCTAAAGCTTAATAGCTAACAAAATTCAACTGATGCCAGGTAATTTTATGCTCAACTTCAGCCTTCAAATCGTACTTTATTTAAAATTATTTCTGACAATGACTATTTTTCTTAATAATTTACAGTAAATTTTTCGTAGATTATTCGCTTGTATCCTCATACTATGACTGTTCGCTATACTAACTGCATTTCCCTAGACATCTAATACAACACGAAAGGTCTATTTGCTTGTCTCCAGGTGGCAGAATCGATCACGCGCATCACTATAACAATGCTTATCGAGCGTTAGACGAAACACTGGCGCTGGAGGAAGCCGTGAGAGCGGTGATGAAGGAAGTGGACTTGTCAGAGACGCTTCTCGTCGTAACGGCGGATCACTCACACGTACTCACGCTTGGTGGCCTAGCGACGCATCGTGGCAATCCTATATTTGGTAAGTGAAGCGATAAATCAATATTCGATAGTTCCATAATCTGTACTGGCAACCGAAACGATTCACTGTGTACCGATAACTATCGATATATGTTGAAAACTTGCAACAAATAGCCCAGAAATTATTTCTCGTAGCACGTAAACTTATGTTTATACGCTGCGATAATTCGTGCCATTGTTTAGAATTCTGCGCAATAATCTTTAACAATAAGAGGATTTTGAAGCCCCCTGTGGTGATATATCTAACCTACAGCTCGTTTATAATTTTACCAACACCGATTTCCACAATCGTAAACGCCTCGAAATTTATACACTTGCTAACCTTTAAGTTTTCCCAAGTTTCCCCAAGAACGGCCACAGGAATGGAAGATTTAAGTTTTACCAACACGATTAAAACTTGTACATATCTTTTAATTCAGCTCGTCGTTACATTTCATTTCTCTACTATAACAACAAGTTTCACAATATGAGCGCGGCTAAGTGCGCACATTATTTTCGCGCAACAACGCGAGCTTTCGTGCACGAGAGTGGCCTATCACATTCAGATAATACAGATTTTCAGGAAAGCGAGTTTACTTTAATCTAGTTTAACTTAATATATTAATCCTTGTACAAGGTATAGGTGCAAGCGATCATACAGTCGTAAAACAGTCCAACAAAAGAAAACAAACGACACAAAATTATTAAGTGAACCAACAAAAAAAAAAAAAAAGAAAAGAGAAAGAGGAAACAATGCAATTTCAATGAACAGTTCCGTAGGTCGAAGCGTAGGTTTCGAAATCTAATCTGGATGAAACGTAAGGATCGTGCCTAGCACAAATTATCTTTCCTCCGATCGCGGATCCATTATTAACATCGTTATTTCTTTAACATCATTTTACAGAATACATAGAAAGAGAAAGAGAGAGAGAGAGAGAGAGAGAGAGAGAGAGAGAAAGAGATGAAAACACAACGCGTTCCCGATCGTGCTAGTCGGAGACAGTACGTTAGCGTATCTTCCGATCAAAAATCGTCAATGTAATTAAAATCTCGCCATTGAACTGAAGCAACGAAGCTTCCGTTCTCGATATTAAATTCGCAAGAAGTATGGATTAAATTAAATTCCTGAACATCATTCACAATAATCCATGCGACTAAAAGACCATGGTTTTGTTAAAAATTAATTAAAAAAGAAAATTGATTATGTTAAAAATCGTCTCGCTGCATTTCACTTCTTTATCCAGATAAAAAATTGCATCGGTTGGTGGAAAATATGGGTCTCCGTACGATTATCACGATACATTTACCATTTTTCGAAGGGAATCTCAATTAATTTATTTCCGTTCGCAACGAAACTCGTTACATTCGTAAAATGTGTAGAAGCGTCGTAAGACCATGACCGATAGTAAGAGAATACCGAGCATCAGGATCGTTGATTAGCATGAAGAACGAGCTGAATAAAATTCAATTTTACTGGAGGATTCCGCAATGAAGAATATAGACGTTCGATCCGTGATTAAATTAAATCGCGAAAGAATGCAAAGCGCATTCTTCGATGCTGAATCTCTTACCAGAGTCGATCAGCCTCATTCACGGATGGTCTTACGATCTAAAACCGAATCAAACGAAGAAATTAATATCGGTGACCCTGCTGACGATTTAATTTTCTTTCCAAGCTAGTTCTCTGATTCGTGACTGGCCTAATTTTGTTTCACGCTTGCCTTCCGTCTATTCTTATTGGTCTTTCATTTGTCCCTGTTTCATTGAATCGACTAACTTCTCGACGAGAAACGATCCTGTATAACAAAAGATCTGAAACAATGTTATCGTTATTGAAACGCGACATGAAACGCCACGTTCGAAACAGAACGACTCCGAGAATGTCAATGGAATATACATAATACCGAGGACATTGACGATATACATCTGCATTGATCATTTTACGGTCCGTTTTTCGACTATTGATCGTTCGAAACTTTTCGATGCGACACGCCAGTAAAGCAGCAAAAGTAGCGAAACAAGAGACCGTCGTCCATCAACGTCCTCGCTGAATGCATAATGCGCTGCAGGATTTGCAACGTTCGATTTCGAATGGGCCACGCTTGGTCGCAAAGGGAAAAAGCGTATTTAACAGTGAGTGACGAGTCTGTTTCGGCCGGTTGGTTCGATGAAATTCGAGCATGATTCTGTATTCAAGCCGCGAAAAGGAGAAAAGATCGGGGACCCCGCCAATAATTTATCCGGTTTGGCTTCGTCTCTGTCGGGTTTGCCTCGTCTCGTCGAATGACCGGAAAGGGTCGCATAGCAATCCAATACCAGGTAAGTGATTCGGTACACCATTTTATATACCCTCCAGTCACTTCTTCATCGCGTCTGGAAGGGCGGGACGTCCCTCCAATTCCAAGGTCCCCAGCTTCAATGCGATCCAATCTTCTTGGACAAGCCTGTGCGAACGGAATCGGAACGTTTGTCCGTGCTTAAATCGAATCGCGGCGAGAAATGCAAAGGATAGTTTTTGTGGCTGGTGCGTGAATCGTCTGGCTCGTTCGAATCCCTCGATCTCATTTTCTACGGTGTCTGGACCGCCTCTCTCGTTCGTTCGTTTCCACAGTTGTAACCACGGCGATGGTTCGATAGGCAAAAGGAAGGTTGTTGTTCTAAATAACGCGAAACGATTTTGACCCTTTTCGGAAATTCGCCGGATGGAGATTCGGGATTCTATAGCTCTACGGGGTGCTATTTCGCCGGATGTTGCCAAGGAACAGTTTCGTTTTCGTTCCGTTGAAAGGCCAAGGGCGTGCAGAAATATGGGGAAACCGTAAATCGCTACTATAATAGTTTTTGGCTTTCTGTTTCTTCTTTATTATTTCTAGCCTCGGTCGTAGAAAAATTCGAAAAATCGAAAGGCAAAACCAGAGACGAGAGCATGCTCTACTCGTGCTAGTTTCACTATCGATTTTTCAAATTAAATTTCCACAAACAGGTTGATCACTAGAAAACGCGCCTACCCGATCAAAAACTGTGCCAACCTGCCCGGCCCTACCTACTTATAATTAACAGATATACCAGAAAGTATACTACCTATTCTACCTAACGCTATATTTAAAAAATGGCAAAACAGGCACACCAACACACTCGCTCCACGGTTCTCACACAAACGCTCGGGCGCAAAGGCTCTACACTAGAGAGGACGTCCCGGGACGCCTCCGACACTCCAGCTTAACATACAACATGCACACTCTAATTTACGTACCATTTTCCTGAAATCAATCGACGAAGGTTAGTGACCATTGCGTAAAACGTGATAAAACACATCTGAGGAAATTATATCGTTAAAGTAAATGTAAATAAACTTGAAATTATAATTGCAATTGATAGCAATATCAAGAGTGTGAGTACACTTAATCGTATGGATGATCAGAAATTGTGATTATATCGAGATATGAATTGAATCGATATATGTCTCGACATTTTTAATATTTGAAGTTGTAACGAATGAGAAAAATCGATGCAATTCCAAGGCCTAATCACACACGCACAATGTGGAAAATACGTCGTGCACGATACACTAACACATCGTCAGTCGCTGAGAAATTATTACATTAAATATGATCATCGTGCCCAATGTCTTTCAAGTAACATCTGGGCACGTGAGCGAGATCCTGACAATGGGCACGGAAAGGGTTAAACCTGAAAATCCTGATCTATAAAAATGATTAGTTTGTCTAATTTGTATTTAACAGACCAACATTCTTTGATTTTATATTTTATTACTTCATTTCCAAAGAGAAACAGCAACCAATCAGAGAATAAATTCAAAATTGTGACGCGTACGAACGAGATCGCGATCTTTCGAAAGAATTAATGGACTCGCGCGACGTACCCCCGTACACAAAATAATAGATAAGAGTAGAAAAGGAAAAAAATAATAGAAAGAAGAATAGATCTTTGTATTTTGTTCCAAGTCAGATAAGTAACATCATACAGAATGGACCCACAATGGACTTGACATAGTCAAGACATATCCCACGGTGTCCTATTGTGTCCAACGGCGTTCAACGATGTCCCACGTTGCAGTCCAGTCTGTGTCCAACGGTGTCCAACGGTGTCCAACGGTGTCCAACGGTGTCCAACGGTGTCCAACGGTGTCCAACGGCGTCCAACGGTGTCCAACGGTGTCCAACGGTGTCCAACGATGTCCCAAGTTGCAGTCCAGTCCAGATCATCCAAAATTCTGTTGGAGGCTTTTGGAGACCCAAACTGGACCGACGGTATCCCACGGTGTCGCACGGTACAGTCCAGTCTAGATCATCCAAAATTCTGTTGGAGGCTTTTGGAGAC